AACAGCTCTTTCTGCACCCTTTTCTCAAAGAACAGTGGCATTTCTGAGCCACATTCGCAATAGCTCCATCTTTTTCATCCCAGCAGCTACTCCTTTTCACGCCATTTTCAGACTCTGTTGCAAGCATAGATATAGCGCTATTCAGCAATTGCTCGTCTGTCCAATTTAAAGAATGCTACATACCAAATGTACCTGATTAAAAAATCCAGTTAAACACCACTAGCAGAATGCCTTTTCTAATTCTTCATCCACTCCAACATGTGTGACCCATAACTGTACACTACGGCTGCAACCTTGCCTTCTGCAGGCACATCCTAACAATCCGTTTGCGGAAGAAGGAGTTGTAGGTGCCTGTGAACTCACCTGAAATGCATTTTGTTTTAAGATGAATAAGGTGTTATTCATAACAAGTTTTGACTAGAGCTGCTGACGCAGCAGCTTTGGAAGAGTAGCGGAAGACACGGGATGGAGTTATCCTTAAACACTTCATAGTGACTTCAAGACTGGAAGAAGGACGCAAAGTACTATGACCCAGATTTTGAATCTGAAGTACCAATGCAATAAAGACAGCTTGGTAACATAGGTGTAATGAAGAGAAGGCACAGCAAGGGGAATTAAGGCAATTTGATCATAATTCACAATCACCCGCACGAGGAAGAGATTTCTGATAGCAGAAGCTCTTTTATCCAGTAGAAAAAAGATCATCAAGACATGCAGTCACTGGAAGCTGAAGCTAGGTAAACATGGGCTGTAAGTAAGAGGCATTTTATTTTATTTATTTTATTGCATTGTAACAGATGATTAATCACTAGCAGAGTTTACACAGGGACATTGTGGATTGTTTGGTGAGTCTGTCCTGGCAGCGACTCATATCATGGTCCTTTCCTCTTGACACAATTTTCCACATCTAGGCTCCTGCCTTCAGTGCACTCTGATATGTAAACAATAACTCAACGTTTATCCAGTAACTCTGCTGCACATTTATGAATTTTAATCAACCATTGACACACTTACATGAAGTGAAACAAATGAGCAGAGTTGACAAATGGGATTTTTGCTTAGAAAGGATTTTAGATTCATATCAATATTCAGTTCCTCTCTAGGACTCTTGACATCAACTGTGTTTCGGCACTTGTATGGCCGACTTGAGCCTACATGATTATTTTCTATAGCCCAAACAGGGAGCCCATTGTGCTAAGCGTATAATAAAAAGACAGCTGCTGTTTCTGAGAGCTCACAATCTAAGGCAGAGAGAACAAACGGCTGGTAGATGAGGATAAAGTAAGTTTGAACTACATTCAGCAAGGTAAGAAGCTCTGTTGATATACCAGTTAACTAGCTGTTGGAGCCACATAATTGGAATCCGTTCCAAAGTTGCGGCAGATTTCTGTATATAACGCAGTCCTCACAATTTGGATCAGACTTTTTTAAAAGCTGTGTCTGGTTTGTCGGCTAATGCAATTTTCCCTCTTTTCCCTCTGCCGCCCTGAATCACTCCCTGACCAAGCTCCCCTCAGGTAAAGGTCTTTGTGCCTTTGATTATTTTATGGCATTTGCTGCAGCCCAGTTTTCATCAGAGGTCTTTCCCAGCAGACTAACAGCCCCATGAATGAAATCAGCAGGGAGGCTCTTCATTATCGCAATTCTAGCAGCGAAGTCTCTGTACTTTTATCACTGTACTGGTATCAATTATTTGGAGCCACATTAAATAAATGAAGTCAGTAACATGAATATGTCATGCCCAATTCATACAGAGGCCCATGAACCCTTTTTAAAAAAACCCCTCTCTTTTATGCCTGCTGCTTCCCTTATGAATTTTTTGTAAGCTCTGACCTTAGACATTTCTCAATCATTGCAAGCATGCTTAGTTCAAGATTGAATACACATCCATTTTATATGGGTTGAGAGGGGCAAAAATCATGAGAAAAGCAGATGGCATTAGAAAAAAATGACTTTTCAAAGAAGGTTCAATGACCTCCATATAGATATGACATGTTAAAGTCACTGACTTCTTTTTAACTCAGCACTTGCGTATATATATATATTTAGTATTGTATAATGTACTTGTAAGGGCAAAGCCTCTTCAGCATTTGATCTACAGTATTTATTGTAGAGTTCTGACTCACCTTCCTTGGGCGTAGCCCAGAGTCACCATAATACCTCTGACCTTAGACATTTCTCAATCATTGCAAGCATGCTTAGTTCAAGATTGAATACACATCCATTTTATATGGGTTGAGAGGGGCAAAAATCATGAGAAAAGCAGATGGCATAAAAAAAAAATGACTTTTCAAAGAAGGTTCAATCTCCATATAGATATGACATGTTAAAGTCACTGACTTCTTTTTAACTCAGCACTTGCGTATATAATATATTTAGGTATTGTATAATGTACTTGTAAGGGCAAAGCCTCTTCAGCATTTGATCTACAGTATTTATTGTAGAGTTCTGACTCACCTTCCTTGGGCGTAGCCCAGAGTCACCATAATACCAGTAATGACAATGAAATGGGACTGAATTGGCCGGTGCCCTTTGGTTGTTCGGTGGGTCACAGCAGCATACTGATCGCAGCTTTCTGCAGCTTAAAGACAGTCTTATTTATGTATCGAATCTGCTGAATCAGAATTAGGCTTGGCAAAGCCTATTCTCCAAAAAAAAAGGAATTAAGAACTCTCTGGGATTTGGAGAGTATTTTTCTAAAACATTTCTAACCAAAATTAATGTATTTTGGGCTTAAGTAATAAAAAAATGTAAATCTCTGAAGCATAGACTGTTAACTTCAGAAACCCTAAAGCCAGTTCATTTTGCTTGTAATTTAACTGACCTGTTTAAACAGAGTAGGAAAAACACAGAACTGTGACGGGAAAGGAAATTTCTTGGACATTGCTTTGCACATATTCAGAATAAAAAAATCCCTAGAACCTTTGAGCTTACTGAGAGTAGAATTACACATAGATGGAAGGAGTAATGGGTAAAAGCTTTGTGGGAGTGTTTGCAAACTCTGAAACTCCAACGCAGCAACTTTCGAACATGTTTCAGCCTCTTTTCCGCTAACATTAATCAGAGTGGCTTTTGTTTGAAGGAATGTTGGAGAAAGGGTATTCTAAACTCAAATACTCTTGCAAACACACTTCATTCAAACCTGCCTGAGAAGTGTTTTCTCTGCTTATAAATCAGTCAACCTGGCAGCTGAAAGAATGGCATGTTTCTCAGGTGGCCAATTACACACCCAAAATAAGGAAGAGTGAATAGATAGAAAACATAATTAAAATAAATACTGCTTGTAAATAAGCCCAGTCAGAATACAGTCTGATGAAATGATTATGCAGCCTGTGCCCCATGTTACGATTTGCATAGATGCTTAGTTCTTATGCACCCTACTTCTGCTGAAATTTACAGGGAAAAATCCTGTCCTGTTACAGACAGAGACAAAAGCATTGACCTCAGGATTTTGGAGAGAGTGCATCAGTTTAGATCTATGGTTTCACTAGGACTATTAGTGGTGTGCAAATCTGAGCAGGTGTTTGCACCTTTGCAAAACTAAAGCTGACCTCATAAGAAAAACAACAAAACCTCACAGTTTTTGGAAAGTTATCAGAAAAAAGGGAGTGTGGGGGGTGCAGTTCAGATTAGAAATGTGCAGCCAACGATAAGTAAAAACAAAATTAGTTCTTTCTTGTAACCCTCGAGTTTGGGTGTTTTCTTGTTTTATTTCTAACCAATTTCTTAAACATAAAGTGGACTGGGAAACTGATTATTCAGGTATCACCTCTGAAAAAAAACTTGACTGCCAAGTCAGCAACAGGAATAATTTGGAAGTTAGTATCACCTGAGAATTTCCAAACAGACCATACCAGATGTCAGTGTTCTTTGTTCAGGAAGCAGAACTGAAGCACAGAGAGGGTCTTTATCTCAGTCGTATGTTAGTCGTATCAGTATATGATAACCAACTGGAAGAGTTCAAAATAAGAGGCAACAATCCTGTATTCCAGTTTACCATTCTTCTATCTCTGGATCGCACTCTTTCTGTTTTCTGTAATGTAATGTAAATATACAATACTTCCACAATGGGCGTTTCATCATGAGTTAAGCCACTTTTGATAGCATTCATCCTGCAAAGTTGCCCAACCACAATGGAGATATCAGTGCAAAGCTTTTGGTTTTTTTTTTTGACAGTCTCTTTGCATGTGTCGTCCAGTAAGATAAGTGTGGGAGATGTAGCAGTCCTTCATCTAACGTGCATTCCTGGCATCATCACGTTATTTCATGAAGTAAGACTGTCAGGTTTATACCCACAGTGACAACAGAAAATGGTATTGTGCTGCTGTTCGGGGGAGAAAGCAAAAGACAGATGAGTCAAGTACACAGCTCACTCATCAGAAATTGCAGGTGTCTCTCAGTTTGGATATATTTCCACATATTCCTAAACTGTTCATTATCATTTTACTGTATGATTGCCCTGCAAGTGCTTGTCATCACTGCAGGGGCAACCCTGAAATCAACCTTTCTGAAATCCATGAATTAAAACAAACAATCAGATAAATGCAATGCTATGTATTAAACATGAAATGACACATCTGACTGTCGGTAAAGGCAAAAAGAATTTCCAAAAGACCTTACTGCAATGCAGACTGCCACCTCCATTTGTTTCTGATTGCTATCACACTGCACAGATGCAATGATTGAGAATGAAACTTGAATTTGGTGCTAGAAGTCCACTGTTACATCAATCACTTGAAATAAAAATGTCATGCTTATGATTCTTTGGAAAATGCTGCACTTAACTTCCAAACTGTTGCTTTCAGAAAAGGCTAATTCAGGGTTGGGTACATTAATGTCAATGTCCTATAAAAGTGCCAGCTAAAAAAAAATGTCAGCAAAGACATTTTTTAAGCCTGTGTCAGCACAAAAGGGTGCCTCAGTTGTTTCATCTCACAACAGCTGCATGCTTTCATTGACATTTGTTGCCCTTTCTTTGTGCACTCATCCTAACCTCATAGGTTATTTCCTGGCCTCCCTTCCGTGACCTATGACCGATGATGACCTTTAGCTAGAGAATGTGACATTTTGTTCTCCTCTGGCTGACATGTGATGCCCTCATTATTCAAAGGTATGTGAAAATAATGACCTGTACTGACCTCTCAGTTTCCTTTCGTTTATTGGTCTACACTAGGTGCTTGTTCAGCAGATTGCTATGACTAGGTGGTGGGGTGTACAATTTCTTTTGAAGAAGGAAGCTCATGAATTGCACCAACATTTTAGCTCTTTGTGTCTGTTGCTCCATTTCAGGAGCGGGAGATGAGGTGGTGCAGCTGGGGGAAGAGGGTTCAGGGTTCACGGTTCAGTTCGGTTTGGGTGCTGGGAGCATCTTCGTAAGGCTGCAGGTATGGCCAAAGACTTGTGGTCTTACAGAGTGGCAGTGGAGTCCCCGGCTGGATACCTACCTTAGGGCGTCTCAAATGGATGCCAGTGCATGAGCTACTGATTCAAGTCCTCAGTTCTCAGTCATCTGAAAGAACGGATGACTAAGTAACCTTAGAAATTCCAAACAGGAATGACTGTAGCTCTCCCATTACCAAGATTTCTAAACCTTCTCCGTTGTGACCACAATGGAAACAGTCACAGTTACAAGAAATACAGTATTAGTCTAACATGCTAACAGTGCTTTCTTGGCTAAGTCACTTTTTGCATTTCAAATGGTGGAAGTTTCAGTGTTCTTCAGAAATGCAAGCCTGAACACATGAAATTTTTTTCAAGAAGTAGATTTTATCTCCTGCGAGGTGAGACGTGCCCTCATTGACTATAGTAAATATTTCAAATGCTGAAAGTCTAAAGGAGGAACAAACCACTTTTGTGTGGGAGATTGTGATACCAATTAAGAGTTTATTCAAGACCTAGCCAGCATGAATATTTAAACCTCCTTTCCTTGAAAAAAGGATGGTTACCTCAGGTCAGGGATGAGGGCATGTATGGAGCAGCATAAGGAACAGATGGCTGTTAAAGACAATTTTTGACTATAAATAGTCCCTATTAAGAATATAGAAATAATCAATTAGGGACTAAGCTCTGCTTCCTGTTGCACAGGAGCAGAGCAGCAGAAGAAAACATTAACACATATGTCAGTGTGTGTTTCTGGCTGGGAAAGAGATAGCAGGCCCTTTCCCACTGAAAGGTGGGAAGCTGCACTGGGTCTGAAGGTTAAGATGGAAGATTGTCAACAGCTCTTTAGAAAAGGTTTTAGGTACTTGGTATGCAGACCAGGCAATGTATTGAAAATCAGGATTAAGATTTTGACCTTGTCTCAGCACTCTGTGCAAACTAATGCAGAAACTAGGGGAAAAGTCCTAGTAACAGCCTTCGTTGTTAAAGAGAGAGCATTCCCCACCACCTGGAGTCTGTAAAGAACTTTGTGTTGGAACATGTCTGCTAAAGGTGTAAAAGGTATTAATAACTGACGCCCAGACATCAACTTGCAAACTTTGAGGTTTGACCTGGACATCTGGGCCTTCAGGCCAGACATCCATCCTGAATTGTAACCCAGCTAAAAAACCCATTAAATGTTCAGGCTGACACCTACGGGACTGCAGTTTAGGTTTAGATTAGAGATATAAAATCTAGTCTGGCTTTGGGTTGAAATAGAAGAGTTAGTATAATCTGATGAAGAAAACTATTTTACCTATCTTGGTAGAAAATGCTACCTATAGATACTTCTACATAAGAGGCCTAACTATGGATATGACTTAGCAGTCGTGGGTATATGTCTTCATCTAAAAGAAAATTTTTGAGAGTACTGTCCTCTGTCTACCAATATCATCTTTGTCCTGCTTGCACTCAGCTTTGCTGCGTCAGTCCCAGCAGCAGGTCTGGGCAGAAGGCTGAAACCCAAGAATGGCAGAAAGAAATGGCATCTATGATACATTACATCTATTCTGTTGCTCATTTCACAAATGCCCCTGGTATTGCATTTCTGAGGGCTAGCTACTGATGGATTAATTGAAGGAAAAATAAGAGTATATAAGTGGGTCCTAGCTGGTGCCAGGCAATCCTCCTGTCCCTGACCTGACAGTGCTCCAAACCCTGTCACTGAACAGGGCTGTTAAATGAATTCTGCCGTTCCCCTTTGGCTGACAGCAATTTTCATATAACTCGCACATGGAATGCTTTTAAAAGGATTCAGCTAAGGAATAGATGCACTTTTACATATGACCCAAGCCCAGATCAGATGTCAGATTGCTTATGACCAATCATATAAATGAACTAACCCACCACGGCAACATAACTCTGGAAGGTCTTGCAGAAACCTTGTGGAAATATATTTGTCAAGTGCCCAAAAGATTGTGACACATGAAATTATGAGTTGCTTTTGACTGCTTTGGCCGAGAAAGACAACTTGTTTGTATGGCAAGAGCATGAGTTTATGAGGATAGCACTAAGGTAAATTTTTAAACCAAGAGCATGTTTAGACTTTATTGTCTTTGTTTTTCCCCAGAAGCACAGTCTCAGAAATATTCTATTTTTCTTCCCCTCTGTCTCATTTGCCTCTCATTGTTCAGGAGCTCATAGGGTTTCACTCCTCCCAAGATCCATAAATCAGATGATTAACTTTCAGTCCAAGACTGTTTTATATGAGCAGAAGAAATCTAATTGGAATACAATCACCCTCCTACTGCTTTTCACAGCTTTCTTTGCATCTCAATGTGATCTGAATTTCAGATATCTCTTTCTGTGAGATATTTATTTTTCCCCATCATGCACTGGACCCAATTGTGCTGCTATCTTTTTCTGCCCTTTTAAGCTCTGGCTGTAAATTAACCATTATCCAACTGAAATAAGTTCCTTTAGAGTTCATAAACTGTATTTCAGCGTGATAGCTTCCAGGCTAGTTGCACAGGAACAAACTGCCTAATCCCCTGAATATCAGGGGTTAATATCAGTTTCATTTTCCCCTCTCTCAGCATGGGTGCTTAGGGGAGAAGCTCTCTTGTAAGATGGGGTACTGGATGAACTGAAAGAAGAAGGAGTCTGGAAATGCAGAACTCCATCTGCAGGTGCTGGATGAACTCCAGGTTGGGGAATCTTTGCATTACGCTTATGGTTACTTGTTTTGATTTATGCTGATAGAGATTTAGTACAACTGAAAAATCCTGCTGATTATGGACTAATTATTGCCCCGGGATTTACTGGTTTATATTACTCTTTAAGAAAAGAAAGTCAAAACCTTTTCTTATTAACCTAGCATTTAAGGAAACTGGCTGCCCAAGAGTCCTGAATGCTAAAATGCTTCCTTTAACCATGCAACCCACAAGCAGCACAAACTTTTCTTTCGTTTCTCCCCTCCTGCACTCCAAGCCTTCCCCAGACCAAACAGGGCATGTCTATGAGAGAAGTTAATACTCATGACTCATGAAATACCCGCATCTCTTCTCAGACGCTGTTGCTGCAGTGATTTGTTTGTGTATGTATGTGCTGCAGATACTAGCCTATCTGAGAAAAAATAAACTTTAAATCTAACCAGTTTTACATATTCAGATATCAAATGAAAACAACTTAATTATTACTACATGACCATGAATGGAGACTGAACACAACAGGCATGATTCCTACGACCCTATGAAACCTGCAAGATGATGCATCTTTCTGTCCACATCCCCAAGTCATTTACACCGAGGACCCATCAGAGAGTATTGCAGCTTCTGCCTTCCCCTCTCCTCCTCCAACAGACACCAGGGTGCCGTTCAGACCGAGGCAGAAAGGTGAATGCCTGGTTTTCATCCTGATGTAGAGTCCAGACACAGCAAGATTTCTTTACTGAAGGAGTGGTTAAACATTGGAACAGGCTGCCCAGGGAAGTGGTTGAGTCCCCATCCCTGGAGGTATTTAAAAGACGTGTAGATGAGGCGCTTAGGGACATGGTTTAGTGGGCATGGTGGTGTTGGGTTGACGGTTGGACTCGATGATCTTAGAGGTCTTTTCCAACCTTAATGATTCTATGATTCTAAGATACCAGCTCCACGTCCCACAGTTTAGACAGAGCCTATCAATCCATTAAGCAACTGAGTGTCATTTAAATAACTACATACCAAGCCCAGCTTTGGTTCTAATATTTTCAGCAGTCCCGCCTGCCTCAACAGAGCTACTTGTACAAACATCCTGGGGAATCTGACCTGTCAAGTGTTAGAACAAAACCTTGCAACCAGTTACTTCTGAGTTTGAAGTGTAACATGGACATTGAATTGGATTTCCAATCTAAAGTACAATTAATGATTAAAATGATTAAGCCATTAAATAAATATATCTCAATTCACAGCTGGTTGTGAATCAGTGACAGGCCACTTAATCAAGAAGAAATAGACATTCTCATTTTCTGGGCCTTCACATGCATTGTTTTACAGTGGTGGAAATTTTACAGTGGTGGAACTTTATTCGCTTAGTTTTTCAGCAGTCTGAGGGAAAGGAGGATCTGACTCAGTGTAGCAATTCCACTGACATGATATCACACTTTTTTGGTGCCCGTTTTTGTTCAAAACAGCTTTTTGTCTCTGAATTTTTGGGTATTTATTTTCCAATATAGCGGAGAATATACAGTGGGGACTAAGACGGTATTTATCTCACCTTACTTAGGTATCTCTAGTGTAAATGTTTAAATCTGAACCAATCACTAAAGGCTCCCCTTATAATTTTCTTTCATGGGAAATTCATCCGGCCAAATGAAGACTCATGTTTTTCCCACTGCTAAGTGGAGCCAAAGTTGATTAATTCGGAGGTAGGTATCTACATTTAATCAGACTAATCCCATCCATGGGTCTGTCTTCAAATCTTTCTTCCCTGCTGACCATAATAGTGCCACGTGACAATGTCCACACTGCTGCTCCACTAGCTGTACTGGAAGAGACTTTTAGTTCAATATTCTCTTGGTTCTTAGTAACTCATTAAATGGGGTTGTCATGGGGATACAGTCTCAGGGTGGCCTCGCTTTCTTTCTCTCATCCACTAATACACAGTGTGCACTGTATAATACTTTATGCAAATAAGTTCCAAGCAGAGTTGCTTTTCATTAGCACAGACAACTCTAGAGGCAAAACCAAACAGAATTTGTCAGTAAGAACTCTGTCATTACGGAATTTTGTTTGCACCCCTGCAGTGATTCATAGTGCACTCGACTGTTTTCTGCCTACATCTTCCTATCTTTTTTTTGTTCACAAAGTGTAAAAATGTCATTTTCAGTACCTTTTCTCCAATTACAGGTTTTATTGATATCATACCAGAAAGCTGGTTTCAGCTCCTGGCAAACTGGCAGCACAAGAGAAGGATTTCCTGGATGTCATCTTCATTCAAACACTGATAAAGTGCAGCCAAAGGAGGGAAGACAAACAAAACATGTAAAGCATTGCTGGAGAAGGAAGGAACTAGACAAGAAACCACAGCCTGGTTGTAATGAAGAAGTGAAACTGGACAACTATCAGCACTTATGCTTTGTTTTTACAGTGAAAGCATGCATGCACACATATAACCTGACTTCACTGAGCATGTCCTGCTTGAACCTGAGGGTAAGTTTGTATGATGCAGTATGTAGAGATACCTGAGTTACTGTGGACACCTCATGCTTCTTAGCTGAGCATTATCCCAGAAATATCAGGAGAGCATGCTGATTCACTTGTACTTCCCTGGTCTCTGAACTAGCTTGGATATCTCTATACTAAACTGTTGCATACCACTGCACACACTGTGACTGTCTCAGGTCCCACTATCTTTGCTGGAACTGAGGTCTGCTTAATAATTCACTGGTTCAAGCACTGATCACCCAGCCAATGTCAACTTAAACAAAGCCACCGGTAAAGCTCCCACCAGGCCCAGGCCCTGTCACATCTGCTGCCTGAAATGGACAAATTTTTAAACTGTGAGCAGCACAAAATCTTTGGTTTAATTTCAACTACTGAAGGAAAGAAAATAACCTGTCATCCATGAAAAATTCAAACACAGCTTTAAAAACATTAGCCACACAGAAATACTTGTCTTATATAAAGTGTTCCTCAGGAAACAGTGGGAGATATGTCTGAAATTAGCAAGAATTACAAAACCTCCCACTCTGAAGGTGAAAGGAGAAGCAAGGTTGTAATTATATAAATGACTATGGGGGAAACAGTTGCTCTGTATAGAGTGTGGGATCCAAGCAGTGTTGAACACTGCTTGGAGACAGCTTTCCTGAAGCCAGGGATTTGTTCTTTTTTTTTTCTTTTTGTCTCTTAAAGCTCCAGTCACTTCCCTGGGAAGATTTCCACCGGGGGGTACACCCCACCTGTACTCTCAAAGCAAGGGATTCAGATGCTCTCTAGACTTAACCTGACTTGGTGGCATCACTCTTTCACTCTCTTTTTACATCCTCACTCTCTTTCACCCTCACTTCATTGGTGTGATTCTTAGTATGGACCTATAACACCTGCAGAAGAACTGGACTACAGGGCTTATGTATTTTTAGGCTCCACAACCGTATTTACCCAGGGTAAACTAGGATTATAGTCCATTCTTCTGGGACATGTGGTAACAGAAACAAACAGAAATATGACCTTTGAAGGGTTCTAAACTCCAATTGTATCTTACATCAGTTTGCCTTAATTGACTCAAGAAACATAGAAACACATAAAAATATGGCACTTGGGCACATTATCGATTAAATCTCCTGACCCTTCTGAAGTAATCCTTGAATCTGAATCAACAGCAAGTTAAGGTCTCTTTCTTACGCTCGGCTTCCCCTATAAATCAAGCAGTGTCTGTTCCCTTCTCTTTTTCTTCTACCCTCTCTGCTTTTACAACTTGCTTCCATTTTCTCAGCAGTCCCCAAAAAGGGCATCTCTGTTACAAAAGCATGTCCCACTTTTGTCTTCTCTCGCCATTTGCACACATCTCTTTCCCTAATCAGTTTGCAGTCAGATCAGCTGACCAAACTCATTTTGTGGCCAAAGCATTCCTAGAGCCACGTGAACTGTGGGGACATGGGGCCTCGGCTGAGACAAGGCAACTCTTCTTCTTTCTGCATGGCTGGCTGGCTTCAGCTTAAATTGAACAGAAAACCATGCTGAGGCTGTATAAGATCTGCTTCTCAGTATATGCCTGAACATCTTCGCTATAGACTTGTCCACAGTGGCAATTACAGTTGCTATTGGGGGGGGGAAAAAAATCATGCTTTTCTTCTGGTTTTCCCTCATTTTTGTACATTTGAAAATTCAACAGCACGATCTTAGCAAACATCAAATTGGCACAGCTGTGACTGCTGCACATTTAAATGAACTGTTAGGTGCCTACAGTCTCAGACTTCAATAAACATTTCAAAGGATAGAGCAGAAGTCAACATTTGCTAACCATCATCATGTGTAATATATGGTATCCTTATTGTAGGGAAAAAGAAGTACAGGTCTCTAATACTGCTGTGATAACTGTTGACAAGTGCTGACATTTAAACAGCAACCAAAACAAGACCTGACCCTTCAGTGTCCCCACAAGTATCACTAGGCACCTACTCAAACCCACTAAAATCGAATGGGATTGCTCTCTCATGACTGCAGATTTCAGGATCAAGCCCTTACTGGGAAAAGAATCTCTCTCAAAGTAAGATCCTGCTCCACTCATGCTAATGGGCATATTCAATTGTAGCATGACAGAGCTTGTAGCATAAACATGAAGTCTGTAATTTTAAGGCACTAAACTGTTATTAAGCCAAATATCTAAGGTATTTTAATTTAAAACTTCAAAGAACACCTAGTTGGGCAGTAGGCATTCTTGCTATTAATTAAAATACAGCTGACGAACAAAGCACAGTCCATGAAACCATACAACTGAAAACCCAGCAATTGTGACCCAGCACTCCAGTACAGAGGATTTATAGGAAACCAAAAAAGCTATAAAGCCACATCTTTCAATCTGACATATTCTTAAAGGTAAAGTTGTGTCACACCCTGCCACCTCCCGCCATTCAAAAACTTGTCAAAAGTCCTTATCATCAGACATGACTTGTCACCACCTCAGTGAAGTTTGGTGACATTAATTTCTTTGGGTTTTAAGGGATCTAAATAATGGAAAAATCCTTCATAGAAGTGCTCAACACTGCAAGAGGACCTTAACAGTTTTAAAGGAGCTATTAAGCTTTCTGATGTAAATATACATTACCTGAGCTTTTTTATAATGTGGATTCTATAAATTGGAATTAAGTGACTTTTAAGAACATTGATTATTGATCTGATAAACTATAATGGCAAGCCATCAGGAACTATTGTGTAAATAACCATTTTTAAAAATTTGTTATGTCATAAAAATTCTTATGAAAAGTACTTATGGTACTTTACATGCTGAGTAACCACTTTCCAACATTAAGTACCTCAGCCAAAGATACATTTTTAAATTAAGCAGCTTTTAATTTATATATGATTTAAAAAGAATGCTTTTAAACCACTCAGCATATACTTTTTTGTGCTTGTGCAATTTTAAAATGGCCAAGACAATGTTTTTTTTAAACACTGAGAATTAAGATAATAGTAAAATAGGTGATCAAATGGCTGTACCAGGCTCATCAATGGCTCTTTGTGACCATACAGCTTTTGTGACAATATGTACCGACAAACATGCATAGGTCCAAAGAAGAGCCTTTCAGCTGAAATCTCATTAACATCTTCCTTTGAGAATTTGTGTCAGCTGATTTCCAGCAAAGATGGAGATACCAGCTATCTATGTTCGAATCTAGAAAGGGCTTGTCGAACAGGCTTTATACCGTGTAGTAATGGAAGTAGAGGAGTTCTCTCCTAACACAAGTGAACTGCCATGTCATACTAAGAGAGAAAAAAAAAAAAACAAACCCAAACCAACAACCAAGAAGGTGGAGTTGTTTGGGATGAAAGGCACCGACACAGAAGAGTCTGCATGTACTGGAGTTGTTGAAGGCAAGCTGAATGGGGAGCAAGTGAGAGTGCATACAAATGATGCTAAAATAAAGCAGCTACATTCAATCAAGCAGGCGTGCAATGAGGAAGAATGATGCCCACAGCTGGAATGCCGTGGGTCAGGAGCAAAGCCCACAGAGGAGAAAACAGAGGTAAAAGGGCGATGTGGATACCACCCACACAAATTTCTTCTGCTGGTGCATTCACTGGAACAGCAATACACTGCAAGAGGGATATCAGTTCCCTATGACATAGCCATTTTGTTACAGTGACTCACCCAAACAGCCTAACTGATACGCCAGAAAGTATTTACAGTACCAGCAATGTAAAATCGAACATCAGAGAATGTGATAGGGAAACGATTTTAGAAAAGATACTGGCATGGAACAAAAACCAAACAAACACACGTAGAAATGATTGCAGGGGATATTTTCTCTTGACGCTGTTGCTCTAACTGGGGCCCCACAGCCACACAGACTCACATGCCTTCCTCAGCAGCACTACTTGCGAGGGCAAGAGTCCAGACTGTGACCCAGGGCTACCTCATGTTGCAGTTGGGCCCTCTGTGCTTTGACAGCGGGACGTTCCTACACTTGCATATTTGTGCAAAGTTGTAAGGTACCTACTCCCCCCTGCAATGGCATGGCATGAAGTTCTCTTACAATGAGGCTCTGCGCCACAGTGTTACAGGAACCACACTGAGTATGGCTCCAAGACAGAGCTCAGAGGATATGGGAAAGATCCCTGGGAACTGGAACTGACCCCAGCTTTATCCATGTTCCTCTCTGACTTTACTTAAAACTGACTTGACACACTCAGCTAGCACAAACAAGAATGACAGGGAAGGATAATTGCACCGTAAATGCACTGCAAACCACTGTAAGGGAGGAGTTTGATCAGGATAAACTAAAGTTTATGGGAAACTGTTTGTTGCAGGGGCCAGCATGAACAGAATTAAAAGCAAAGTCAAGCACAAGTGGCAATGTCTTAACTGACTGCTTTTATTCCTGTTTTATCAACAGGTATTTAGTGTTGCTTCTCTCTGTGATGCCACCCATTACCAGGCAGGACATTTTCTACATAGAGCCAGAAGACATATACTTGCAAAGAGGATATACTTGAGTGTAGCTTAATGCTGCCTCTCTCATGCATCTCTCACCACACTTTATTTTTTAATCTCTGGCATACTGGGAATGTGTGCCCAACAGCATGTGTACCTTTCAGAGATAACCTGGAGTCAAGGTGTCTCACAGAGAGTCATCAGCACAAGCAACATGAACTTCAGCCTCACATGGCCCGTTCCAATTTGCCCACACTAAGGCCTCACGTTCCCACAGCAGATGCCAGTGCCTTGTGTTTGCTGGCTACACACATACTCTGAGGGAGTACTTAGGTATGCAGTTACACACATATTTGCTTTTGCTCAGCTGCTGGGGGCTTTTTTTTTGTCAAATAATGGAAATTCCACTTGTAATTTTGGTGGGAGTTTAAACTTCTGGGAATATCTCCTAATGTGCAACACCATGCTGTTTCAAACTCTCGGAGCAATAAAATGTTGAGAACGTGACTGATTAAACAGAGGTGAACACGTCAGAAACTGCTCTGTAGGTATTTGGGAAAAAAGATAAATGTTCCATCTGTCTTGACTACATCTGTGTGCTCTTTCTGTATTTAATTTCCCTTAATGTTCTAGGAGACAAGTTCCCTAACAGCTTAGCAGAACCTGAAATTACTATTTTTAAAGTTTTTGCAAAAATTTTAGAAAGTATGAAGGAACAGTAAAGTGAACCTACTTTTACACAATGAGCTAGATTCAAAAGAGTTACACATATCCACTCAGAAAGCAAACCCAGGACCCCTGGCCCTTCTGTCCAGTGGGTTTAAATGCCACACGCTCATGACAGAAGTCTTGAGAACAATCTAACAACCAATACTTATTTGCAGCAACTGAACACGATCAAGTGAGGAATACATTTTTTAAAAAGTGCTTGGATCACTGAAATAAAAGCTCCTGTTCGTCAAACAAATTATTCCCTATGAACTATTCAGTCATCTGTCATAACAGCATAACTTTTTTTTTGTGCATTTTAATAATTGGTCAGGAATATTATTCAGTATTGTTTATGAATGTCTGGTGGATAAAGGGTCCTGTACAGTAAAAAGCATGTTTGATGTCAGCAGGAGTTCATGAGCAACCTAGGGAAAGGTCATCCTGGTGTCAAAGGCTGCAAGAAATGTCACATGCTTTCTCTTAATTAATGCAGGATAGGAGAGAATCCTCAGGGAGGACCCAAGATCAGAAGGAGGAAACAGACATTGTTGTACCAATTATCACTGCTTATCTGAGCGTCTCCCTCTTTGTGATTTCCCCAATTTAAGCAAACATGTAATTTCTAGGCTGCATCAGTTTATCATAAGTGAATCCACTTGGATGAGCGTTCATTCCATATTTAGATATAGATAGACCCATCCTTGCCAGGTGCTGAGTTTGCTCAACTCCTACTGAAATTAGCAGGGGCTCAGCGTTTTGCAAGAATCACTTAGCAGTGCCCAGAATTGGGTTCTTTATGTGACTTACACATCCAACCAAAATCTGTGTTCCTCTAATGTCCATTTGCACAGTAATCCATATTTCTTTTCATTCATTTATTAACAAACAGACATCCACTTGGTGTTTCTCCTAAACAAATGTTAGTGGCTGTCACTACTAGATACTTAGGCAAATTGAATGTATTCCTATTCCCTTTTGCACCATAGCAATATTATGCAGTGTACTTTAGCTTTCAGCTTTTCCTTATGTACTGAATATTTATGGTCCATTTTGGAGTTGTCATCCAAGCACTTGGGGTCATTTTCTTATTAAACAGTACAATATTAAAGCAATGGGGCACAGTAGGTGGTGTGTTTCTGGCTATTTTGTCATGCCTCAGGCTGAGTTGCCATCTTCCACCTAAAATAATGTCATACTGAATATTAGTACAAGAAAAAAAAAATCCCAGTAAAAACAGATCATTTAAAAAAAATAATGTGGCATTGTAAGTTCCAAACTTACATGGGGGCATTTTTCATGTGGGAGCTCTTCAGAGAGATAAAGTGATTAATTTTTATAAAAGTTGGCATGCATGACCAAGGGCAGATGGTGCATAAATTTGGGCCCCAGTCTTAAATTCTGCTCCATGTAGGTGGACCACTGAACTGCTGTGACTGAGGAAAAAGAATACAACCGTGAACAGATGCAAGACTCCTGGGTACCATGATCAGGCTGTAGGACTAGGACCCAAACCTGCATTACAATAATAATTTTAAAGCCAGCTTTTGGCAATACATTCAAGTATATAAGCTAGAATTTATATGCTGGTATTTATATGCTGCTGATTTATCGTGTAAAATGTGTGAGATGTCTCTGCTTAAGATACGCTTTGTGCTGTTATAGACTGTGTGATAGATGTTTGCTTGTACACCTTGCTAAACACTAGGTCCCAGCCATCATCACAACTAAGAAGAAGATATGAAATACCCACCCTAGCTAAACTTATTGCGGTGATGACTAGAAGGACGACAGAAAGGGGAGGAAACAGAGAGCCGGGCACTGTAGCAACACAAAGGACACTGTTCAGTTTCCATCAAAAGACAATCCACATGGCTCCCCGTGTCAGATGGCTGTTAGTAGATCTCACGTCTTCTCTTTTACTAGGCCTCCTGTCTTCTATTTTACATTTGTTGTGTTCAGCTGATTTTCTATCACTGTACCAATCAAATGCATTCGTTCAAAGCACACTATCGTTTCATGTCTGATGACACTGAAAATATAGCATGCTCCCAGAATATATGCCACCAAACTAATGAATCACGTGAGCCAAATGTACACAATTTCTTTATCATTTCGTTGTACATTTACATACGTAAAGCGTAGGCTGTCTTCATAGGGTAACAAGCCTATAAGGCTCCAGTTTATTTAGCATTTTCCAAATTCGAAAATGCCTGACATTCGTATCTTTTTCCCTATGGGTCTTCAGAAAGGTGTGCAAGAATGAAGAAAGAGCACAAGGTTGCCACAGAAAAGGGACAAATAGGTGGGCAAAGCTCAAAGGAAAAATCCAGTGTCCCTAGAGAGAGCAAATCAAGGAATGTCAAAGAATTAATTTAGCAATCTTGGGAAATGAGGGACAGATATCATATACTACAGATTGGGGCTCTCGCCATTTACAAGCTTTTTCTAACATCTGCAGTAACCAATCTACTATTCCAAACTGCAACAGCAAATACATTTCTTTGCTGTCTAATTACCTTGGGATTATCACAGTGCCTCTCTCACAGAGAGTGAATTTTCTGTTTAAGAATGGGGGATAGCAGAAGCACACAAAATCAGACAGGGATGTACTGCATGCATTTTTAAAGCGTTGCCTGTACCTTGCGATTTCTTCAATTTGTTGTGCTATGGGCAGGCTTACAAAGCAGCCTCAGTCTGTGTTTCAGTTTCACAGGATCCTTCAGCACTTCCAGAACTGCCGAGAACCTGGACCACGCCCGCCAGCTGGAATGGTAGAAGAAGAAATCCCCATCAGTTAGCTCAGAATTGAATGGGTCTGACTGCTGGTCCTAGAGCAGCTGGACTAGATAATTGTACAGAGCGAAGGAAACCTGGTGAAGACTCCACATATTCCTAGTTACTTCTTTGTTTTACCTGGCTTATGAATATTTACATGAACAGATTTTGGCTCACACTGGGAGACACTCTCTCGTATAAATATCTATGGTAACATAGCAACAAGGGACTTTGTGCACAAAACTGGTTTCCTAACTAATTTCTCTTGATTGCTAAGATGACCAGCTCTGGTGGAAAAAAAATTTTTAAGTGGTTAGTTCGTCTTTGAAATCTAAGCTCATTGTTTCTTCAACATTTTCAACACTGGTTCTGCACAATAATTACTACAGCTTCGTTCTTTAGTTACAGATTACTTGAGGACATTTTACATTTGGCTTTATATTGAAACAATATCATTGCTAAGATGTTCTTCAGGTGGCCATTCTACAGCGTGTCTTTTTCTAGAATTTGTATTTTAAAATTAATCATGAAACCCTTCCATCATATATTAAATGGGCGAGATAAAGTGTAAAAACAAGGGCTGTACCTGATACTTGAAAGTTGCTATTCCTGACAGCACTTCATCTTTTTCATACCCATATTGGCTTTTATCCCGGCCCATCTATTCCTTAATGTAAGTGTTATAAATTGTTGTAAAGTGCCATAAAATATAACAAACATGAATCAATATTTCTTGGTTAAAAAACTTAGAAATGCTGATGAAGCTCAGGTTTATTATAGATGTCCTGAACCCACAATGTGCCTTTATTTTTTTTACCTTCATCATTTTTTCAGGTCTTGATTTCATGTGTGCATACACATTCATTCTTCACGAATCAGAGAGGCAGCAAAAATTAAAATTACTAATGCAGAGCTAATGAAGCATCTAACATTTTAACCAGTTGTTTTAGGCGGGATATCCTGTATATACAGGGTTGTTATATTTGGTATGTATGACCCAATTAAAGCAAATTCCTTACGGATCTAGCGAAAATTAAGCATATGCACGGCACCGGAAATTTTGGGGATTACTCAGATGCTTAAAGTTAAGCATATGCTTAAATGCTTTGCTGAATCAGGGCTTTAATGAAGAATCATGGCACAGTAGTGCCATTTGCCATAAAAATTCATCATTGCCATGGATCTCTGCTCATTAAAGAAGATGCTATGATTTGTGTTTAAAATATGAAAGAAATATGATGCCTGCATGGTGCATTAAATACCCAAGCATACACATGCATTTAAATTCTTGCTATCTTTTTAAGGATATTGTTGTGAATTATGTTCTTGTATATGCAAGAGCATCCTTCATAGTGAAGTGACAGTTCGTTTCCACATCCAGCTGATGCTCTTTACATATTATTAGTATTATTTATTCTCAGTCTGAAGCTAATGATGGATTTCTTTGTCCTCGTTTGGTTTTGTGGTTTCTCCACAGGAACCGCCATGGGCCGCGGCATTTCCAGGGGCATTGGAAGACTATCCCAGGGCAGAGCAAACCCGGCCCCTTTCCCCGGCTGTGAGGGGAGGTGCCGCCGGGCTGACCCAGGCACCGCACGCACCCCGTTCCTGCCAGCGGGCCAACCCCAGGGTGCCCAAACCGCCCCCGCTCCCACCAGCTTGCTGCTGCCCAGCTGGGGACAGGGCTGCCACCCCAGCCTGCTTCAGGGAGCTCAGCGTGCACCATGTTAGCGAAAGCTACCGTGAACTACCCCCACTGTGAAACCAGCCTGGCTCTGTCAGTGATACAGCCTTGGTGAAGGGAAACATCCCCACTCTGTCCTGTTGATCATCACCCGGGGATTTAAGATCCCCTTTAGAGCCGGTCTGGCAGCTGAAAGGAGAAACACTGCAACAATGCCAGGGCATTGCCTTTGTCCAGGCCTTTCGCTCCGCGGTGCCCAGGGAGGCAGCCCCGCAGCGTGTCGCGGGGAGACAGGCCCGCAGTGGCGGGCGCAGGGCTCAGCGATGGCCCCGGCAGCTGCGAGGGAGTAGCTGGGGAGAGGCCTCCTTGGGGGCTGCCGCCAGCCCCGGGGCCTCTCCCCCGGGCCCGGCCCTGCTGCAACCCTTTCCCCAGGCCAGGGGATGGCTGGGCTGTGGCCAGCCTTGGTCACAGTCCCTGGCCCGGCCCAGCTTACCTCGCTAGGGGCTGCGGGACAGGGCTGGGAGGGGAGGGAGGGCACCGCACCGCCCTGCAGCCCCACAGCACCCTCCACACTGGATCTTTGCTGTTACCAAGTGGAAAGAGATCCTGACAGAAATCTATTGTAAAAGATCCACATCCTGGTGAAACAATATCGCTGCTTTATACTATGACAATAAATTTGACTGAGTTTTCTTGTGACAGGGAGGCTGGTGAGGACCAGGGCGACAACCACGGCCTCATGCCACATGCTACGCCTGTGCCGCCTGGCTGTTCAGATCTAGCGTCCGTGGCTGGAAATGAGGCCACTAAAGTGGAAGAAAGATAACATGTCTCTAACTATGTGTTGTTGTGCGTTGTTTTTTTCAATTCAGCTATTTATAAATGTGATAGTCCTCTGTTTCTCCTGCCTCTTTCAGCAACCCAGTGAAGAATGTGTGAAAAGCTCTAATTTCCCTTGAGGAAAAGAGTTAGTATCTTGTGATTTCAGTGAAAAGCTGTGTTCGCACTGTGGTCAATAAATTCCTATAGACAACCTTTCCCCCTTGGAATTCTCTTATCTTGTTATTTTGTTAATGCTTGAGACGAATATTCCAGCTCAGCAAAGACGTGGTGGAAAGCCATCCCATTTCCTGAGGGTCAGCTTCAGAAGGAGGATGCCAGAGCTTTAACAGACTCTCCTGGCATTAGGTTTCCCTTTTCTTTCATGAAAACTTAAATACTCTTGGTTTCCTTCTGACTTGGAGCAAGATCAAATTTCCGAATATCCAAATCCTCCATGAAACAGCATTACGTCTTTCTCTAGAGCCCCAGTTGTTACTTCTTGCGATGATAAATCCCACCAGTATCATAAAAAGAAATTTTTCGTTGAGAAAAAGGTTGAAACCTCTCCCTAGACCAAATCCATAACAACTTCCTTTTTTGTAGGCAAAAATACAGTTTGAAATATCTGAGCTGAAAAGTTCCTGCTTCAGTGGTTAAAGTGCTCTGCATTCACACCCCACATCTCCGTGAATTCCCTGATGAAAGGAGGCAGACTTCAGGGATGACTGCAAAGGAAGGCGCAGCTCCAAACCAAGTGTCCCCTGAACCCGTGTGCCAAACTGCTATGTGGTAATTCCAAAGTCATGGGAAGATCCTGCACCCTCTAAGTCCAGGGATCACTCTGATCTTAGCCCCATCAATAAACTCTAGTGCAGGTCTGCATGCAGAATTTTAATTACTGCCTTTAGATATGCCATCCTTCTAATATTATATTTGAAGACTATATACTCTCTAGGAAGGCCAGCAAAGAAAAAGTTTGATCATACTATTGTCTCTGATGATACTATTTTTCTCCATGTTTTGGAGACTATTGTATATATGCCTTTTTTTCTTTTTTTTTTTTTAAATATAAGATTTGTCCTGTTAGTGAAGCAGTGTCACTTTACACCGTAAGACTTCTTATTTTCTAATAGTTAGTTTGGTTTTTGTAAGGTAAACCTAACAGTCAGCACTACCTCACAGCACCGCTGTACAGAACACTGCAGCTGTGCTGCTAATCTGACTGACAACACACAGCGAGATGGAAAGAAAGGCAAAAGAAAAGTGGTTTAGCTTGATGAGAAGCTGCAATCAGGTCTTAGCAGAAAATTCAGAGCAGCAACCGCAGCCACAGTGATTAACAAGGAGTTTCCAGAAGTTAATATACCGGGCAAAAGGGTTGCTCCTTTGGAGGCTGAGCACTGGAGAGTGGAAGTTAAAATGACTTGTGCACCATTGAGCTGGAACATGCTGCTCCTGGGTCATTGATCTGCTCTGCTCTGGCAGGGCACTGCTTTGGTATTGTTAATTTTCAATGACATAAAAACTTGTATTAGTACAGGAAGCAGAATTGAAAGGCCAGAGACTAAAGGGAAGACAAAAGAGAGGCCGGTGGTAAACACGGAGGGTTCCAAAGACTGTGATGCAAAACCAGAAACAAATACAGCCCCTGAACAATAAGAAATTCATTACTTCATGGATCAAATGGACTAGGCCAGATCCTTGGCTGCCATAGGTTA